ACATTGGTGTGCTTGACATTATCCCAGGGGCTCCTTACATTATCCTTACTCATTGGATTTTTTTTTTTTTTTTGCTTTTCTGATTGGGTATTTTTGGATTCCTTATATTACAAAACTCTGATTTGATTCTTAGCTTCATTTACTCTGTTGGTTCCCTGTAAATTCTTCATTTTGGTTATTGTATTCATTATTTCTGACTGGTTTTTTTTTATGGTTTCCATGTTCTTTTTTTATGCTGTTGAAGTTCTCCCTAAGTTTATTGAGCATCCTTATAACCAGTGTTTTGAATTCTGCATTTACTTGATTGCTTGTCTCCACTTTGTTTAGTTCTATTTCTGGCCTTTTGTTTTGCTCTTTCATTTGAGACACGGTTCTTTGTCTCCTCATTGTGGCAGCCTCCCTGTGTTGTTCTCCTGTACTAAGTAGATCTTGGTAGAGTGGGCTTATGTAGTAGGTATTCTGTGAGGTCCAGCAGTATAGTCTCCCTGATCACTCAAGCTGGGCACTACAGGTAGACCCTGTCCCTGTGTAGACTGTGTACACCCACCCACATGTTATAGTTGAGCCTTGATTGCTTTAGCATGTCAATGGGAGGAATTTACCCCCAGGCTGATCAACTGCAAGGAGAGGCTGCAACCACCCTCTGTAGTAAATCCTACAGAGCAGGATATACTTTAGCTGGTCTCCGATGCCCACTGAGTCCACCCCTTTACTGTGTCACTTGTAGAGGTTGGTAAGTGGTATTTTGACATGATCTGAAACTGTCCACCTGTGTGCTGACTCTGGGCCCTCCCAGCATAGCTAAAAGCAATCTGCATATGGCTGTTACCTTTGCTGAATTTGGAGGTACCCAGGCAAGGCAAGCTACAAACCAAAGCTAGCTGCTGCTGGTGCTGGACCTGAAGCCACTTAGTGTGTGTGGGGAAAGCTGAGGCCACATGCTGCTTGTTTGAAAGATTTTAGGAAAGTCTGAAGCATGAGCCAAAAGAGGCCATTGGTATGGAAAAGCCATTGGAAATGAGGGCAGAAGCAATGGAAAAAACTCCTCACCAGTTTGGAAATTCACCTGTCCTTCCTACTGAGGCAGGATTTACACATACTTCTTATCTGGGGAGGGAAGCAGACAGAAAACAAATGAACTGCAATGCCAGCAAAAGTAAATGGGGTGGTATGAGAAGTCCTGTAGATGACTAAGTTCACACTTTGATGCCATGTCCTATCAGCTGGATGAAATGGAGCAATTTCTTAACCTCCTCAGTTAATTGGAATAATACCTATTTCATCAGGCCGTTGCAAGTATTAAATAAAGGAATTTGTGTAATATGTTTAACACAGTGCCTCTGGGCACACAATAAATGGTAGACATGATGGTGATAAACAAAAGGATCATAGAGATGTATATTAAATACAATGGGAAACCCTATCGGGGTATAGGTAATTCTGCTTAAGAAGGAGTTCAATAAAAAAGAGACCTTGGAGGTAAACCTTGAAGGGTAGAAGGAAGCCAAGATGGAAACTGAGAAGTTGACATTTCAGAGAAAAAAAAAAGTCATAAACTAAAACTATAAGGTAGATTTAAAACTTAAGAGTTTATAGAAGAAATAAATGAGAAACTAGCTTGAATCAGAAGCTCAGCTATGGGTAACAGAGAAGACTCTGAACAGGATCTTGGAGATATTCCCAAGTGTAGGTTTCAGAATGATGACATAAAATGTGTTAAAGCCATTCATGTATACAGTGTATGCCATTAACAGATTGCACTTCATGAGACAGGGCTATTACTAAAGGCTCACTCTCTTCTTTAATGAGTCCTGTAAGTGTTTTTACAATCATGTTTATCAGCTACTTTGGTTGTTGAAAATTCCTCTTGCCATTTTAAAAAAATCAAAGTGTGCATTTTTAGGATCAAGTTAGAATTTCAAAGAAAGACCATGATTTCTCTCTTTACTCAGAGGCTATATTGTTCATCTGGGCCAAGGAAGGACAGTCCTTCCAAGCTCTTCCAGAAAACGTTTTTGGTGATTAAGTTCAAAAAGAGCATTCTCCCAAAAGCTTGCCTTTTTGCATCAATGTCTGTCTCTGTCTCCCCCTGACTCCCAACTCTGGCCCTTCCTACTACTGTCTTTGTCAGCTCAAGTTCTTTCATCATTGACACTCTCACAAGTGTCAAAATACCAGCAATTTGGTATTTTGATTATGTTTGTTTTTAAGCCTCACATAGCCTATAAATCACCCAATACTTTCTATGTCATTGCTACTAAACCAACACTTGTGAAAAACAGTTTGCAATTTTATCTTCCTCTCCCATTATTCATCTAGCCCTTCCATCCACATTTTTCTTACATATAAACTCAGTACTAAAAATACACATGAGTTGAAAGTGCTGCCAAAACACTTTGTAAAAGAGCAATCCAACTTGTCCAAGACCAAAAGAAGTGTGGGGGTCCTAAAATAAATCCCTTTGAAATGATGGAGTCAATTTGTCTGGGACCTGACTTCATTAAGACACTGTAAGTACATAACCGCAGGACATAAAATCATGGGGTCAATCTGGCACACACTCGGCGTGCACTTCATGTCACACTGTAGGACTTCACATCTTTCCCCACATGCCACAAGTCCAGCCAGAGTTCTCGTGCATGGCATCAGCACACTGTAGCCCATTTTCTTTTTTAAATTTCTTCATAGCTCTAACGTGTATGTAAAAGCATCCTGTTATTTGTTTGCTTACTGTTTGCTTAATTGTCTATGTTTTCCCTCTGGATTTTATCTCTGTGAAGGAAGAAGGGATTTTACTGTTGCCCACTGCATCCCTACCACTAAATCAGTGCCATACACAAGATAAGTGCTCAAGTTTGTTGAATTGATTTTTGAAGCCAAAGTCCAACAAAGCCAAACTAATGCCTAACTTCTTTTTTTTCTTTGCTTGTATTTCTCCTAAGAGTAAAATAATACTGATGGTTATAATTTATGAGTGCCTGCTACAAGGCTTGTACTGTGCAAGCACCTGAATACGGATACTGCATCATCCTGTGTAATCCTCACAGCTACCCTGCGTGATCTATATTTTATTGCCTTTGCAAATGAAGCCATCGGAGTTCAGAGAGGTTAAGTAACTCACCCAAGGCCATAGATCTGGGAAGCAGAAGGCTGCAGGCTTGAACCCAGGACTGCCTTACCACAGCTTCTCAGTTTATCACACTGTTGCTATTCCTTACCATCAAGTACTACAGGTCTTAAAATGATCAGGTCTTAACCCATTTGGGATTGATTTGAGATTGATGCTAAAGAAGGGAATCATCAGTTTTAGTGGTGTGCTGCTCTTTTTTCTCAGAAATTGGTTATAGGGCTGGTTGGTTACAGGGATTCCCTATAATTCTGGTTATAGGGACAATTACTCATCCTCCTGCTTCTTATTCCTTCTGGCTACTTCAGTCTTCCATATCCCTTTGGAAGAGCAAAATAAAACATGTCCCTTTCCCAAAACTCGTCCATCTTTTGCAGTTCCATTTCTAAGCAAATCTGGAGGGACACAAGCCTCACAGTAAAGTCCTAGCACCAGATGTGTCCAGAAGTTCTCCCTGCTCCTGAAGGATTTTACATGCCACCTGAAGTGTTTGAGAAGCTGTGAATGGAGAATGGCAAATTCTCCATTCACACAAGGCAGACTGCTCCTTTACTTACTTGCTTTAAAAAAGTTGGAGGGTCCCTTTAGTTCATGCACACATTTTATATGTGTCTTATCCCATTAGATCACCATTGTGTTAGTCTTGCCTTTATTGGATGGTGTAAATTTTGGGAGACTAAAAATCACTGAGTTCCCCCACATTGATATTTTACTCCTCTGCAGTACAAACACCAAACAATCATTCTAGACCCAGTAAAATGTAACTTCCATACGGTATTTCCTGATTTTCAAAACAGAATTTATCTCTGTAAAACTTTACACAAACTCTACAATTTCAATTACCACACCAAATAATTATCTTTGTACCTATTGTTTATACATCCTAGATTTTCATTAAATGCCCTGTGATCAGCAATCACATATTAATCTCTATCTGGCTGACCATGTGGCATTCAGTAGATCCTCAATAAGTGCCGAATGAATTCTGTATACACACAGGTTGTTCACCCTCTTTTTGAAACACTATATATATATATATATAATATTTTATCCTCACTCAAGAACATTTTCTCATTGCTTTTTTAGAGACTGAGGAAGGGGGAAGAGAAAGAAAGACGAACAATACTGTGAGTGTGAGAGAGAAACATTGATTGGTTGCCTCTCATAGGCTACCTGACCAGGAACGGACCCAAACCCAATCTTTCAGTATACAGGACAATGCTCCAACTGAGGCACACTGGCCAGGGCCTCTTGAAACACTTTAAATGATAGCTCACTATCTCAAGATCAGCCCCTTACATTGTTGTGCAGATATAATTATTATGTCAAATATCTTTTTCATTTTTTTGAAGTCTGGTTTGTTTGGGGTTTGTTTTTTTTTAACTTAATACATTCTAATCAAATAGTACCAGCAGTAAATAAACACTTTGAAAAACAGGCAAGTTTTTCCCTAGATATCTGGAAGAAAATTAAGTCAAAGTTTTTAGAATTTGAGACAACTGCTGATGTTCAGTTAGACATTCAAGGACAACTTGGAAATTTTTAAGCCATTTCCAAAAAAATCTATGGCAACAGGTTGGGACACAGCTACTTCAAAGGGTAAAATGTCTATATTTACATGGTGTTATTTAACAGGACCTGGGTTGCACTGGTATAGCATGACATTCTTATCTTTAGTCTTAAAGGAAAAGACAATCTTTTTCGTTTGCACCAGTTTGAAATATTTCTGAAGTAAGTTGCCCTTAAAATGGATTACTATGGCACTCATTCACATGAGAGAGTTCATACATGTAGTAAATAGATAAATACGGGATTTAATGGTCACTTTTTTGATTGATTTGGTTAATTGCATAAAATGAAGATAAATACTCACAAGCACATCTGATCATCAAAACTCCTAGGGACATCAGAATACAAAATATAATGTGGCCGAATAGGCTCGGAGCACCAGGCACGTAACACTGAAGTAAAGCCTACATCAGTTTCCTTCCCCTTCTTCAGTACTCCTCCATGGAGTCCTTTACTGCTGGAGCTTGGACCTTCAACCAAACGCAAAACTAAAAAAAAATAAAGAACCTTCAAAAGGTTGGGCATTCCGATGAAAATGTCACTTCAGCCCTTTAGCCTTCCTTGAGACGTTTAACCTTTAACTTCAAAGGCTCAGCTGTTCATAGTTTTAGGAAGAAAAGCCTTAGGTGAAATACCTTGGGCACCTTATCTGGTCACCTCCGTCACACATTTGCGTTAGACTGACTCAGGTGTTCTTGGAACGCCGCGTGGTTACCCGGGGCAGGTTTTGGCTCTTTCACATAGCTGCCGTTGGAGGTAGTCTACGTGAGGCACGGTTAGAAAAAAAGAAACACTTATATGTGGAATTTGTATTCTTCCAAGTAACCCTTTAGTCTCGTCGGCAGAGGCAGCGCCCAGACGGCACGGGTGCGCCTGTTGATGGTGAGCCTGCAGAGGTGCTGCAGAGGCGGCGCGGCCGTGTACAGCGGTTTGGTCAGGTACAGGTGGAGGCCGCCGCTCGGGTGGGCTGCGCGGTTGGCCCACTTCTCCCTGCACATACGAACGTAGTAGTCGATCAGTTGGACCACACTGTCAAACTGATGAAGCTGGGACTTGACACACAAGATAGAGTCCAGCCTGAATTTCCCATTCTGATACTCGATCCGCAGATTAGTTGGTCCAGCTAATGTTTTCACAGATATAGTTAGTAGGAAGTCCGAATGCGAACTATCTCTGATCAAGAAAGTTCCTTCGGGTGCCTCTTTTAATTTCTCCTTGGCTTCACTAACAGTCATACTTCCCCAGTACCAACCTGTCTGGTTGAGCTCCTCCCAGGCCTTCGCCAAACACACGGCCTGCGGGGACAGCTCCCGCGAGGACAGCTCCTGCGCGGACATCGCGCTGCCCTGCGGGTTCCGCGTCCGTTCCGCGGCATTCTCGGGGGGCTCCAGGCTCCGTAGAGTCACAGGCAAAGGGTCACCGCGGCAAACACGGGTTGCCGCCTAGTTGGCGGTGAGAGAGCGGCACGCGTCCGTCCTGGAAGTCGGTGGGACCACCGAGCGCGTCCGAGCGGAGTCTCCAAAATGGTGGTGGAGAGGACGGGGGTCCGGAGCGTCCGGCTCTCCTCCTCGGGTCCCGGTGCACGCGTGGCGAAGGCCCCCGCGGACTCCGTCGCCCACAGTTTGCCCGGTTTCACACCTGAGTGCTGCTTGGGTCTCCCGGGGCCGGAGCCACCTGCCCGCTCAGGAGTCCGCAGCCGACTGCGCGGAGGTGCGCGAGTTTCCGAGTTGCCGAGTTGCCGCATCCCGGGCCGGAGGCGGTCCCGGGCCCACTCCCGCCCCCCGCGCCGGGCAGGGGTCCGGGCGCCGCCTGGCGCCGCGCTGGCCACTCCCTCTCACTCCTTTCCGTGTTGCGCTGAGCTCAGTGTCCCTGGCGCGCCACCTTTGAGCCTCGTTTGACCTTCCGCAAGCACTCAGAGGAAGTGGGCTCCTCTTTAAGCATTTTAAGACAGCTAACAAGACCCTCCTCTTGACGGAACACCTTCCTATCTCTGCCGAGGGCTTTCGAGGGACAGCTTCGAAACTCCAGCCATCCTGGTTCCTCTTCCCGGGACAATCTCGAATGACCAGGGTCCCTCCGGGAGGGGGCACCGTGCCCCGCCGCAGACATGGTGGCGAGGCTCAGTACTACGGGGTTCTCCTGAACTGGACACTGTATTGTTGTGAATAGTCTTAATAACATTATATTTTCAGTATTCTACCCATTTTCTCTCAGGTCTCTTTCTCTTTGTAAAGAAGATTTCTAGTTGATTCTGCTACAATTAATTTTATAATATTAAAAGCAAAACTTGATGTTGACCATTGTTTAAAGATATCTTGTTTATTTGGGATTTTAAGATGCTTAGGTCTAGAAGGCTGAACTCTTGAGTACAAACGTGCATTCTGTAGTTAACTGATACCCTCTTTACTTAATAAGCCTATAAATGACTGGGTTTTAAATAGTCACAGTCTGAATACATTTCTAGATATGTGCTGGCCTCATTAATTCATTACTCTAGGCGAGCGCCCCTCGGTAGCAAAACAACAATCCCGACATCTGCAGCAGATAGGCTTCCGTGCACTGAACACCAGGCTCTGGGCTAAGCAGTCTCCATTCTTGTCATCTAGGGCAGACTTTGCCGGATGATAAACAACCCCAAATTCATGATGGTTTAAAACAGCATTTTTCTTTATCTCACTACACATAGAATGTGGGAAAGAAGGGGTAGGATTTTGCTCAACCCGGTCACTGGAGAGGCAGGTGAATGGAAGGAAGTGCTTTCTCAACATCTAATTACTCAGCTTCATGACAGAGAAAAGGAAGCATGACAAATCCCAGACTGGTTTTTAAAGTTCCTCCCCAAAAGTAACATGTGCCATTGCTCACATTTCATTGAGCAAAACCAGATACATAACCATATCCAACTTCATTTTTAAAATTTTTGTCTATATCTCTTAGTATAGTGTCTGACCCAGTATAGAGTCACCACCACTGGAGTAGGTGTTAAATGAATGAATGAATTGAATGAATTGAATCTTTAGTTAGGATGCCTCTTGCCTAAGAAACCCAAACTCAAAGTGGCTTAAGACATGAGAAAACTGAGTACTTCCAAAGTGGGCAGCTCCAGAGATGAGTGATTCTGAGAGTTGGGGAAGTCATTAAGGGTCTAGATCCTTTCAACTCTGTGCTCTGCCAACCCCCTGGTCTGGTAGGCCTTGGTCTGGTAGGCCTGCAGTCTCATCTCCTATTCTCTGTGGTCATGAGGTGGTCACAGCAGTTCCGTTGTCATACACAAAAACAAAAGCATCCAGAAGAAGAAACCAACTCTTCTGTGGGACCCTCTCTAAGAGAAAGAAAAACTTTGCCAGAGCTAGCCCAGCACACTTCCTCTATTGTCTCTGTGGCCAGAATTGTGTCACATCCTCATGCCTAAACCGGTCATTGGCAAGTGGCATTAGGCTCTGTGATTGACTTAGTTCAGTTAAATCCATCTCCAGGTTAGGGGTGTGGTCACTATCCTCTGAAGTCCAAGCTCTGAGGACCCCTGAATACTCTGCTCTCTGCTTATTACAATGTTAACAAACCTTCTCTGTTTAGTTTTGTTAGGGAGAAGGAAGGGATAGACATTGGGTAGAACACACCAGAGTCCCCAGATTTCTTCCCATTAACTGTACTTCACCTTCATAGCTTTGATCCCTCAAACTTGTTGGACCTATGATGATATTCTAAGCTTTTTCTTCCTTTGTTTCATCCCCACCCCACTGGCTTCAATTAAGTCAGAAGTTGGTTGTGATTGGCTTAGTTGACTTTGGAAGGACCAGGTTCATTTCATACAGACTAACTTGTATTAGCTGTATAAAGTAAACCAATGAACATAGACAAGGCATAAGTCAAATATAATTTCTTCCCAGAATCATTGTAGACTACTAGTCTACCAGCATACCCATCACCTTAGTTACCAGCTGGGCAGGGAGAAATTAGTGATGTGATGAAGAGCATTAGAAACCAAGACTGGCATGGATTATCCACGGCATTGATCTAGAACTCTTGGCCATGCCTCATCATGCTGAGATGAGATTAGAAGTTGACCAGACTGTGTTCTGGCTTATCAGTGTCTCTCCCTAGAACCTGCTCCTGTTTCATCACCCATTTCTCATCCTGCTTACCTGTCTGACTCCTAATTATGTTTTGGGATATCATTTAAATATGGGTGATTCCTGTGGCCACAGTAAGGACCCTGCTGTATTCTCTCAGACTGGCAGAAAATGAGCTAACGTAGTGCTATCACACCATAAGGCTCATCTTGTTGTCAGTCTCTACTCTTTAGAACATAAATAAGCTGATGAAACCCAGAAACCACATTTATTTTATCCCCATTACGCCCCCAATGACCCCAGGAGGGGGTCACTGATCATTTAATTTTTTCACTCAATGATAAAATAACTGAATAGCCTCTGTCAACATTACAGTGCCAAGTTCTCTCGTCTCATCCGCCAGACTTACTGCTTTTAACTGGACACCATAGAGTGTAACTTTTCATTGTCTTACCATGACCCGTAGGCTGGGATGGAGACAAGAGGCCCATCTGATGCCTGCAGGGAGACAGTTCCTCACCACGGTTTATACCCCAAGGTTGGAAGCTGCAGTGACTTAAACTCATACAACTCCTTTATCAGTTTCGAGTTCATTTCTGTGGTAAGCTTCTGTTTATGGCAAATAATATCTACTCCACATTTTCAGTAGTAATTTACTTTCGGGTTCCCTTTTTATGAAAATCTTTTAATTAAATTTTGTAATAACCAAAAAACTGGAAACCATCCAAATGTCTATCAACGGGTGAATGGATAAACAATTAATGGTATATCCATAAACTGAAATATTATATAAAAGATAATTTAACAAAAAACAGTAAAAGGGAACACACTATTGATATATACAACGGCATGGGTGAATTTCAAAGTCATTATTCCCTGTCTGATAAGGCAGGAAAGAAGTACATATATTTACATTAAATTCTTAAAATTGTAAATTAATACATAGTGACAGAAAGCAAATCAATGGTTGCCTGAGCATGAGTGTGAAAGGAGATACGGACTCCGAAAGGGGCATAACAAAACTTTAAAGATGGATATGCTCTTTATTCATTAATTCAAGTGGTATATTTTAAATATGTGCAGGTTGTTGTACATTAATATTTCCTCAAAGTTGTTAGGAAAAAAAACCCAGATTGTTAGGATGGTGGGGGCCATTGGCTCGAAGCTTAAATTTAATTATAAATACAATGGAGAAGCTACTAACAGGTTCTAAACAAAGGATCAGCATGATTAGATTAAATATTTAGAGTAACAGAAGCACTTAGAGAATGTTTCTTTAAAATCTTCTTTGAAACAGCCTCATAAATCTCAAAATTTTTCCCCAAATAAGGCAGGTACACAACACAAATACTTGCCTGTACTAATCGCTAATACTTAGTATTGGTCAGAGTCTTTTTCCTCCTAAATGGATAGGAAGGTCAAAGCTGGACTGGGGAGACCACAGTGATTTTAATGCACATTGAGTAAGCAATGAGCAGAGAAGGTTGGCCCATACATATATCTCTCTTCCCACTGTTGATTGAGGAGGAAATCACTAGGGCTAGGCCACTAGGTACTTCCTGTATAAAGTTCACAATGTAGCATCTGTTCTTTCCAACAGTTCTTTAAAAAGAGTTGAGGTACCCAGGAGACTTGAGGAAGCAAACATATGTTCTAGTCCTTCGTATAGGATGAGGAAGGAGCCAGGAAATTTTAGACCAGGAAGTTTGACTTTGATAGCAAGTGAGGATACAAAAAGGCAGATGAGGAGTGATGACCAGCCCCTTCCGTTTGGGCTTGCCATCAGCATTCGAGAGAGCATAGCCTGTCTGGGACCCTCAACAGCAATTTTCTTAGGAAATAAAGCACAAAAAGAAGTGATCCAACATCAAAGATCATTGATAACTGGGATTTAAAAACTCCTGAAACCTGTTTAGTCCTTGAATTGAACCGTTAATGACTAAGGATTAAGAAGAAAGGGGAGACTGACTCTCCATCAACTGTGCCTTGTTTCTAAGGCACTTGAAAGCACTTGAAGAAGCACTTTTGAAATATCTCAAAGTCATTAAGTTGTCAATGATAGAACCCTCCCCTTAACAGCTGACAGCCAGGATACTGTTCTGGTTGAGGGAGGAATTTTGTACATTTTTTTTTATCGCTCCCTTCATCTGGGCACTGTGTAAACAACCTGACCAAACCAAATAGGTCGTCAGTGCCAGGAAGGGCCTCTTACCTCCTGCTCTGACAGGAAGTCACCACTGTTGGTTTAGCTAATAGAGTTCCTTAAAAGTTCCTTTGACACACAGTGCTGAAAGTTGGGCTTCGTTCTCCCTGTCTTTTTTTTTTTTAATTATTGTTCAAGTACAGTTTTCTGTCTTTTACTCCCATCCCAGCCCACCCTGCCCCCAGTGCTCCCCACCTCCCTCCCATTTCTACCCCCTTAGTTTTTGTCCATGTACCCTTTATACTTGTTCCTGTGAATCCTCCCCCTTTTCCCCTGAAATTCCCTCCCCTCTCCCCCCTGGTCCCTGTCAGCCTGTTCTGTATTTCATGTCTTTGGTTATATTTTGCTTGCTTGTTTGTTTTGTTGTTTAGGTTCCTGTTAAAGGTGAGATCATATGGTATTTGTCTTTCA